TAAGAGTACCCTTAACCGACGAGCATGTATGCGTAGGTTTATGGATGTGGAGGAGACGAGAGAGGTGTGTCAGACGTGAGTGTTTATGTATGTGTTTGTATGTATATATAGCAATTCTGTTATTGATAGCTTACACTTTGAACGACTTGACCAATTGAATTACCAGGTAATGGCGGTGTAAGAATATCCACTACCCCATACCATCGCGTGGGTATCGTAAGACGCGACAGAGACAGCAGCGTTTTCCTGATAACGGCTAAAAATAAAATTACTGCGATTGCGAACCAGCTTAGCAAGCGTAGCAGTAAAGTAAAGTCTCATTCATACATACACAGAGCGAAGACAGCAGTGTTTTCCTAATAATGGCTAAAAATTAAACAACTGCGATTGTGAACCCGCTTACCAAGCGTAGCAACCATGGCAAATATCCTTGCTATGAGGCAACCTACGGGGAGGCGTTTGTTCAGCGGTGGACTTTAATAGGTTGTAACGGTAACGAACCAAACAAAGTCACATTCATACATACATAAACACTCACGCCTGTCACCCAGAGGGGTAGGCAGAGACTACAGACTTCCATTTAGCATGATCCTGACATACCTCTCTCGCCTCTTACACATCCATATACCTACGCATACATGCTCGTCGGTTAAGAGTACTCTAGTCGCATTCATATTGTAATATATCTATCTTGTTAAGACAATGTATCATAATCACATGGCACGACTACCAGGATCTGATATTTAGGAGCTGTAGGTTGTCTTCACGGGAGAGGCTCATGCCCAGCAGTGGACATTTACGAGTTGGTGAAGCAGAAGAATGAAATTATGAATAGACATTTAGGATAATAATTACGGAGATACATTTCATTATCATCTGTGGCTAAGGTGATCGTGGAACTCTAGTGGGAGGCCATAATATAAAAAAATTCTGGTAGAAGTCATGGTTAGCTTTTGTAAATGTATTCTAGTAAATTTATTAGTATTAATATATTAATATTTAGGAAGAGCGGAGTCACCTAACACAAGCACCTCCTTGCTTAAAAGGTGTTCTCCAGATCATGTATGTTAAAACATTGTGTAATTGAAATAAACATTTTTATTTTTTTTTAGTATTGTTTATCAGCGGATGCTTTTTCATATTGATATCATATTTTAGATTACAAAACATTATCATAATGATAATGTTTTGTAATCTAAAATATGATATGACATAGTGCAGTTAAATAAGTGAATGATTCCCACAGCCATTGCAATCTAAGTTAGACTCATACACAAAATTATAAAAAGATAATATAAATAATAAAATGACTCACCACAGCCTCGTATGTGGTGAATTTTGGCTTCAAGTCCTTTCCATTCATTGTGATGAATGCGCCGAGGTTGCCCATCGTGTCGCTGGAAAATTAAAGACTATAAGAGTTAAGAACATAATAATTATTTAAATTATTATGTTCTTAACTCTTAATAAATTTGTTGTATGTTTCAACAATCACCTATAATAATCTACCACTGGAAGAATTATTTATCTCTTGATATTTTTATATATTATCTCTTGATATTTTTAAATAAGGATAACCTAGATCGCATAAGAATTACATTATCGATTTTATTTTTATGTTTTTCTTATTTCGTTTATTTTTACTATACAGAAGTAAACTTCTTTCTTGAAACAGAAGAAATGGGCTTTGTAGACATCACAAGTGGTAAAATTAAAAATTTTGTATAAACGACGTCAATATAAATAAAATGAGAACATCATTAATGTATTCGAAGTCAATTAAATGTGCATTGTGAAGGATAACTCGAAAACTACAGGTCACATCTCGATCAAATTTATATAGAACCACAAAAAAGCACCAGTTTTGAAATAAAAAAAGAATCATCAAAATCGGTTCACCTATAAAAAAAGTTTTGAGGTAACACACATTAAAACATCATAGAGTCGAATTGAGTATGGAGTTTTGAAGTCTGTTGAAAAATGAGGAGATAATAGAAGTTAGTAGTAGTTTATTGAAAAAGTTAATAAATCAAAATATTTATTTTATAAAATTATTCCTGTTTGATTTTTTTGCACATCCACACAAAGTTTGTGCGCTATGCGGAGAGGAATGTTTTTGTGTGTCTTAGACTAAATATAGTGTTTAATTTTGCCAATCTTCACCATCACATATTTATCCATTATCCATTACAGCCTATAAAAGTCCACAACTGAACTGAAAAGATTTCACTTAGAGGAATTTTACCATACTTGTCACGCTTGGTGTTGTTTGAGTGGTTAGTTGAGTGGTGAACTTTGAGTTTGAATTGCTATCTGCTTCCCACCTTCTCTTTTAGTTTCCCGTCGTCTCTTACGAGACCCACGGGCCAGTATGTGGTAATGGATATCCTTACACCACCACTACACGGTACTCATCATGGATTCACACTGACCAGTAATTGGGCGCCGAGAACACTGTAATGCACTTCCCGTCGTGTGCGACCTCGTAGCCGTCGTTCTTGACCTCGTGACTTCTGATGATGTAGTCGAGTCCGTTCTTTTGCAAAAAGTTTTCTGTCACGTCGGGCCCGAATTGGCATCCGACCCCGCGTTTGGATTGCGACCGACCCAGCATTGGCTGTGGATCCGACCAAAGCAGCTCGCACATTATACCTGTGGATAGTGAAATTAAATATCGTACTTGAGTCATTTCTATCTTCATCAATCCATAAAGTCCACCGATGGACAAGTCTCTCCAGTTATACGGAAGATTGAGAATGGTAGTAGCAAACCTAAAAATTGACTTGGTAGAGTCATGCTGTAGTTTCATTATGATTGTAGAAAAAATGGGTCGGTTCGATCGGGAAAGGACCACGCTATCGCAGAATACCAGCGTAAAATAGCTGCTTAATACTGCTGTTTCATATAATGAGTCGAAAGAACTGGAGATTCCTCGTACTGGAAACGAAGCTTTCCATCTTAACCCTCAAGGGGTTAAGACGCATCTGTCTAAGGGCCACAGCATTCACTTACCATCAGGTTGAAGTGTGTGCTTGTTCGTCACCCTTATTCTATATTTAAAAAAAATGACTCGCATTGTTAACTTGAGTCATCAGTCTTAGGTTTTTAATAATACTAGTGACCGCCAAGTACGTATTCAATATTTGACCATAATTCATTAAATATTATTATATTAAGCAAGTTGTATTTGGCTTCCAATAGCAAATTAGTATATAAAACACAGATATCTAATATACAAAATAAAAAATAATAGCTTTTTTGTCTTGACATACATATAAAATACTATAATTACATACATAATAGAATGGTGGAGTGGGCGGAGCCCATGTAGCCACTAAAATGTCACTAACACGTCAATTCACACGTATAAATGTCAACACGAGATGTTATCGACGTTACAATAGTTTCCATGGGTATGTTCCAAAATAGAACCCAGTGTACTGTCCAATGCAAATGACGTCATGAATCGACGCTATACTGGTGATTCGTTCCAAAACATAGGACAGTATATGACGTCATACATTTGCGCCATATTGGAAAAGTGTTGGCGATTAGTCATTTTGTGCTCCAAAAATCATTATATCCTCCTAATGGAGATACCAGCAATTATTCTATAATTTTTTGTATTTGAATAAATAAAAACAAATTCTGGCATGCTTCATTCAGCGCACACACAATTAAAAATTGTTTTATTATTGACGGACATCCGACACAATATGACGTCGGCGCGCCAGTAGAATTTAGTGTCAACTGATGACGTCATTTGCATTCGGCAGTATACTGAAAACGTTTCGGAACATACCCCATATCTCGCATGCAAATTATTTAGAAAATGCCAAATTGAACGCTATTTACAAAAAAAATATATATTAAAATCTGTCTGTCAACGCGCTTATCCTCGTACAAAATAAGGTTGACAGTTATTCTATTGTGTATTATAGTATTCTATGGACATAAACATCACAGACTTAAAAAAGGAGCATTTTACATCACACATAATTATCAGCTCAATCATTTAATCTGTCAGTAATTATTATGTTGGCAACAAATTCTCTTCTTTTATTATTCTTAAAGGCAATCTGCTCTATAATATATATATATATATCATAGGCGACAAATTGACCACAGACTTATTAAGTGGTTGACATTAACCTTAGAGTAATAACATCCTTACATATATGCTTGGTATGCTTGTACTTACTCTGAGACATTGGCAGTATGAACGTAAACAATGTATGTTTAATTAATTTTTTTAACTAATTATAAGACTGTGCTTGATAACCAACTACCTGGTGGTAATTGGTGATTTAGCCCTAAATGGTATTCTCACTGTCTTAATGTAACAAAAGCCTATTCACTCTGGCTTTGAAGACGCCCAGTTTGTATCGGACGGAAAAATGTACGAAATGAACCTGGGAATATACACCCAGATATTTATATTTAGATACTACTTTTCATGAAGGAGAATCTATACGAATTTTTCTTTTGGTCTAACCAGTTATTCTTGTATTTTATTTTTATTTCTGTCAATTTTTTGCGAAAATGGCGCAATTTTAGTAGTTAAAAATAAAAATCCATGGAGTAATTGATTTGTTTAGACCACAGGATAGAGAATTTTGTATAGATTCTATAATACAAACTTCCTTATAGAAAAGTAGTCTCTAAATATAAGTTTTATGGTTTAAGTTGTGGGGGTCGTTGCGACCGCTCGGAATTTGACAGACACATGCGACTGCATGGGAATTTCAAGGGGATTGAAGGGTTAATGTACAAATATTACGAGTATATATCCATTTTAGCTTTCTGCATGCCTAACCTGATTAGTGCCAAATCTTACACTCCTCCATGCACGCAATATGCTTAATAATAATGGGTACAAAGTTTTCTCTTCACATATCAATACATAAGATTAAAGTGGAGAGTAGGCGACGCCACACTAGTTCATCAGTTAACCTTATCTATATACATCTGTAAGTCTGAAAATAATATAGACAAACAAGTCAACCCTTACCATCCTCAGGGGGCTGTTTATTCCTATCGACATTCTGTATATCCTCCAACGTGACGTCATCACTAGAGAACAATCCACCATGCATCACCAGTACTCGGTTGTTGATGCAGTGAGCCAATGGCAGCCAGTTGTATACCTCCGTGAACAGATCGGCCATTTGTGCCGTGTATTTGAAGGTCACCTCGCCGCGGAAACCGTACATGCGGTTCATGTCCCGGGTTTCGTGGTTGCCTGAAAATATGCAGACTTACAATTTAACAACATTCCTTGCCCTGGGTTATGTAGTAGTTTTTATTTTTAATCCTTCTTTATTATTGAGGGTATTTATTATGGGTATTAATATTTAGTTAATCTCGGATGAAGTTTACAATACAATACAATACTCTTTATTGCACACAAAATAATACAAAGAACAACAAACTTAAATTGATAAATTAATGTACAATTAGGTGGCCTTACCGCTAAACAGCGATCTGTTCCAGGCAAACCTTGGTGAAGGAGAACTTTTACATATAAAAATATAGAAGTGTGCATAAGTAGTAGATAAAAAATTATACATAACATATAACATATATATATATATATATATATATATATATATATATATATATACATAATCATACACATATATATATATTTACAAATATTTTTGTAACACATTATAGCTACACATTATATACATACCATATATACACAAACCTTATCAAGTATGTAGATATGATAAGTAGTAGAACACATATTTAAATAATAATTTTTAACCAGTTTTTTGAAAGACTCAATGCTTTGGGATTTCTTAATTGTTAAAGGAAGCGAGTTCCATAATTTAATTGCTTTGACACAAAAGGAGGAATTAAAAATTTTTGAGTTGTGAGCAAAATAAGTTTATCGGATAATCTGGAATGATCTTTATCTGCACCCGCGAACTCAAATTTTTCTTTTAGATACATCGGTGTTTTAGGATCAAATAGTTGAGATAGAATGTGAGTATTCCGACGAAGTCTGATAGGAAGCCACTTGAACTTAGTATGAAACTCGGAAACATGATCATATTTGCGGAGGCCAAATATGAACCTAATAGCGAAATTCTGAAGATGCTCAAGTTTATTTAATAGATCCTCAGTAAGATTAGAATAGCATACGTCAGCATAATCAAGGATAGGGAGTAACAAGGACTGTGCCAGTAAAATTCTAGTAGGAATGGGTAATGAGTTACGCAAACGTCGTAAGGAAGATGATGTCGCAAACATTTTTCTACTAGACTCTTTAATATGTAGGGACCAAGAAAGATATTGATCAATGTTCCAAACCATCAATAACAATAGGTGGTAGGTTATCCCAACAAATTCTGGAAGTTTAGTTACATGCCTAGCAAACACACACATATACACACGCATGCATGCACTCATACGCACGCACGCACACACGCATGCATCCACTCACACGCACGTACACACGCACGCACGCATGCACGCACTCACGCACGCACGCACTCACTTACGCACGCATATACTTGAGCGCGCAAGTACGCATAGAATTAATGTTTTAGCTAGTTTGTATAGTTTTGTACTAAAGTAAAAAGATTCTTACCTCTAGACATGAAAAAGTGATCTGGATAAAGCAATTTGAAGCTAAACAGCGTGAAGATACACTCCACACTGAATGAACCTCGATCAACGAAGTCACCGTTAAACAAGTAAGGGTTAGATTTTGATGGTAGGCCGTTGAGTTCGAATATGTTCATGAGGTCATAGAATTGACCGTGAATGTCGCCACATACAGTGAACTTCTGATCATCTGGTACTTTAATATCAACAAGTGTTGGTTGTTTTTGTAGGTATGCCTTTACATCTATAAGGATCTGTAATAAGATAGCTTTAATAGAAACTAAATCATAATAAATCGATACATTTGAATGAAGCAATACAAAAATATTTCGAAGACATATGAAGTTCGCCAACACGCATTGGGGCAGCGCGGCGGACACTTCTCAGAAATGAGGGGAGGCCCGTGCCCAGCAGTGGGACGTATATAGGCTGTAACTTTAACTTTAAATCAATACATAAAAGATTTAGTCATTTAAATGGTAATTTTTTAGCATTTGCAATGACGAAGCGACGAGTTGACCAGAAGAAGATTGGCTCTAGGCGTCATAGTGCCGGAACTGATGATACGTATTCACTTTGGGTATGTTAATTAACTGTTATTTAAATAATATACTAATTACTAATTACCACACTGAGCTTTGGAATGACCAAGAAGATTGCGGGCAAGCTAAAGAAGTCCTGCCCACAATTAATAGTTGTATATCCAAGGTGCTAATGAGACTAAACAAACCAGAGACTGATAGCAACGCGTGATTACTTTTTATTGGTTATTTTTGTTCACCATACGAGTTACACGGGCAGAGCATGTACGCGAGGAAGAAATGTTGGCTCACAAGCCTTCGGTGTGTCTGGTGGTCGCCTCATACAGGGCTAAACATCTAGGCACGCTAAGCTCGCTCCCTGCGGTCGTCGGCAACATCAAAAGACTGGTAGAATATACAAGATTTCTAGACTCAAATAATTACAATATCTTCTTAACTAAACTTTGCCATAGTTGCTACATTTGGCAGGTGGTTTTTTTATTTCCAAATTGTTATTAGGAAGACTGCTGCCATCTCTTTTGGGTAGTTTCCCTTTATCGCCACCTACACACCCACAGGAAGATGGGGGTGACAGGGGACCACAACGGGAGCAGTGGATATTCTTACACCATCTATACTCAGTAAATATAAGTATTTTCACATTTAATTGGTTATGGATTTTCTTGTCAGTGTATTATATAAAATACCTGGCAGATGAACTGGCCAGAAGGGGATCGGCTTTGGCCACTATAGGGCCGGAACCTATAATACCAATCCCCTTTGGCTACATTTGTTCACTGGTATGTAGATACTTCAATCATTTACACGCTCAACTTTGGAAAAAATTTGTACACTGTAGACAAGCTAGGGAGGCCCTCCCTGAAATAAACAGTTGTCTACCAAGGTTTCAATGAGACTAAATAAGTCACAGATCAGGATAGTAACAAGTGCTATCACAGGACATGGCTCTTTTAACAAACATTTGTTTACTTGGTTAAATGGTGTTACTGATAGCCCTCTGTGCAGGGCATGCATGGGAGAGGAAGAAACGGCGGCTCACGTGTTGCTGACATGTCCACAAGTCGTTTCATACAGGGCTAAACATCTCGGCACGCCGGGATCGCTCCCCCGAAGTTGCTTGCAACATCAAAGGACTGTTGAACTTCTTCGGGGAGATATCATGGCTCGAATAATCACATTATCCCTGCCCACACGCAAAATACGCGCTTAGACGTGGAGTTGCGGAAAACAGCCTGTCGTAAACTAAAATGATATAAAATACCTTATATGCATATTTCTTATGTAACTGTTTTTCTTGTTTATAATATTCCATTAGCTCAGTGACAAACTTGAGTGTTACTTTGCCATCTTCTAGTGCTGGTCCTTCATATTCATCTTCTATTGCTGTTATGAAAATAAGATAAGTTAAGACATAAAACTTATAATTGTGAAGTTTTCAAGTTAAGAAGATTTATAGTAATCTCACTTTTTTTTAATTTATTTAGTATAAGAAAAATACAGAAAATCACAATATAAACATCTCAAAAACCCTTACAGGTGTGTCTGGATGTGGAGAAACTTTTGAGCAATCTTCTTCAAAATTCTTCTTCAATTCTCTCTCATTTTATTAATTATAAAGAACATCAAATATAGTATTAACACTTTGAGTATTAAACCAAAATACTCAAAGTATTAACAGTATGAAATATGGGTACATTGTTTACATAGGGGCAGCCGATGCTACTTGAGTGTGTTATAAAATGAATAAAACTAAATTTACGGATTCTATCGCGTTTATTTAACTGATTTTACTTATTTTTAATTCCCGACGTTTTGGGAGCTTTACAGCACCCATGGTCACGGGGGGGACTGAGATGTTTGACGTCCCAATGTCATTGTTAGCCCGGCTACCTTCAGTTTTTGAATATTAATTTTTGGTCCGATTTACGCAAAACGAACTTACAGTATCTTGAAGTCTTGCAGTGGTATGCTTGGGTTTGGGTTTAATTTTGTTAATTATAGGATCCCAAGCAGATGGCAGCACCCAACCATCTTCTCTATTGAAATTAGGATGTTTTTTAATTTCTATAGCCTCGCATAACATCCTTGGTAGGAATCGGTGTACTTTTGCGAGGATTTGTGGTTTATCAAATCTGATCTAATAGTGGGGACGATCTTGAACATGTTCACAGACTGCAGACTTCCCGGAGCGTCGGTGCTTCACGTCTGCTATATGATCTTTCACGCGGGTTTTTATGGATCTTTTTGTTTGACCTATGTAAGAGAGACCACATTCACAATAAAGGTATTAGCGAAGGGAATGAACTTCGCATTAACACCGCGAAAAATCCCGTACGAAGAAATTATCTGCAGTGTTGAGGATTGTCTGTTTAAGAATAATATCGGTAAGGAAGATTTGGAGGCTATACGTCAAGATATTTCGTCCTTGTTACGTCGTAGTGCAGTGCCGAAACCAAACCTTCCTAAAGACGAATTTACAGCGTTAATTAACTTACGGAACAGACCAGAGCTAACGATTCTCCGCGCGGATAAAGGAAACGCTACGGTAATAATGGACACATCAGAGTATAGTTTTAAAATACTACAGCTTTTATCGGACGAAAGTACATATAAAAAGGTCAAAACAGACCCCACAACTAACACGCTTAAAGCAACTAGCGATTTAATAAAGAAAATACTCCGAAAAATTAAATATCGACATGAATTCCTTAATACCATCAGGTACCAAACCACCGAGGTTGTATGGGTTACCGAAGACCAAACACAAACCAAACCCTCCACTACGCCCTATAGAGAGCTAGATCGATTCACCAACTTATAAGCTGGCACAACACTTGGCAAAAATACTGTCACCACTGAGAGGACAAACCATAGCACACATAAAGGATTCATACCATTTTATTAGTGAGATAAAAGACCTACATCTCGCTGACAATGAAACTATGGTCAGTTTTGATGTTCAGTCACTATTCACATGCCTACCTATTGAAGACTGCATCTCAATTATAACTAGGAAACTAGAGGAAAATAATATGCCAGCAGAATATGCAGTATTACTCAGACATTGCCTTAACATCTGGTTATCTATTGTGGAAGGAAGAGTTCTACAAGCAAGTAGATGGTGTGGCGATGGGCTCACCTGTATCTCCCATACTCGCCGACATATTCATGGAGGACTTCGAGGAGAAAGCCCTTCTTACTGCTCCTGTAAATCCAAGATTCTACAAGCGGTACTTAGATGACACTTTCACAATTTTACCATCTGACAAAGTAACTGCATTTTTAGACCAACTTAACTCTATAAACTCTAAAATTCACAATGGAGTTAGAGGCAAATAATTCTTTAGCTTTCCTAGATGTTTTAGTCATTCGAAATCCTGATAACACTATTGGTCACACTGCATATAGAAAAAAGACCCATACCAACCGATATTTAAATGGTGAATCTCACCATCATCCTTCACAGTTAGCTACCGTGGGTAAATCTTTGTTTCAGTGAGCACGAGGGATCTGTGACAGAAAACATCTGGCCGCCGAGCTTCAGCATGTCAAGCAAGTGTTGCAAGACAACAAGCTTCGGATCCCACTCCTACGTCACAATGACCGAGTGAAGCCGGCACAGTCGAGCGTGTGCCTGCTGTACTACCTATGTCAGAGGAGTCACAGACAAGGTTGGCTACATCTTGAAGCGAGCTTCCATTAAAACATACTACAAGCCGCCGAAGAAGATTAGTCAATTTTTACCATCTGTCAAGTGTAATATCCCTCTACAAGATGCAGGAGTGTACAAGTTAGATTGTTAATGTGGTCTCTCTTACATAGGTCAAACAAAAAGTTCCATAAAAACCCGCGTGAAAGAACATATAGCTGACGTGAAGCACCTATGCTCCGGGAAGTCTGCAGTCTGTGAACATGTTCAAGATCGTCCCCACTATTAGACCAGATTTGATAAACCACAAATCCTCGCAAAAGAACACCGATTCCTACCAAGGATGATACGCGAGGCTATTGAAATTAAAAAACATCCTAATTTCAATAGAGAAGATGGTTGGGTGCTGCCATCTGCTTGGGATCCTATAATTAACAAAATTAAACCCAAACCCAAGCATACCACTGCAAGACTTCAAGATACTGTAAGTTCGTTTTGCGTAAATCGGACCAAAAATTAATATTCAAAAACTGAAGGTAGCCGGGCTAACAATGACATTGGGACGTTAAACATCTCAGTCCCCCCGTGACCATGGGTGCTGTAAAGCACCCGAAACGTCGGGAATTAAAAATAAGTAAAATCAGTTAAAAAACGCGATAGAATCTGTAAATTTAGTTTTATTCAATGTACCTAATCTAATAATCGTATCGATTAGGTGATTTCATTAAAATTAACTTGTTATTAAATTAACACACTCAAGTATTGCTTATATTTATTTTTATCCGCTTTTGCCCCTTATATGTAAACATATGAGGGTTGGTATTTACGTTCGTTTTCCTTACTATGTCATACTGTTAATACTTCGAGTTATTTTGTTTTTTTAAACATTACTTACAACAGTACCAGTTGGAGTAAAACATGGTAGAGCCATGCTGCAGCTATATTATGACTGTAGCTTGAATGGGTCAAATCGCCCAGGGTAGGATCATGCTCTAACAGAATACCAGCATAAAATAAAAACTAAGTATTGTTGTGTTCATATGGTGAGTGTAAAGAACCAGATACTCCTTTTACTGGAAATTAGGTATTTCCTCTTAGTCCTCAGGGGGTGACAACACATTTGCATTTTGATCCATAGTTGAGGATAAATGTGGATGTCTATGGGCCACAGCATTCACTTACCATCAGGTGGACTATGTCCTTGTTTGTCACCCAATGCTATAAAAAATGATCTGTAGTTTATATCACTCACAGGACATGACACAGGTCTGGTTAACCCATTCACTCTACAGAAATAATACAGTTGCAGTGTGGCTAGATATATTTTGTAAAAATTAAGAGTCACATAGAAAAAGTTACCTTTCATTATGTATTTAATATATTCAATAAGGAAAATATTGTATTTGTAAAAATCACAGTATTTTTACAGGGTAGATATTAAATAATTATGTGGTACTAAAATTTACATAAGTAAAATTTATATATAATAGACTTACTCATAGCATCCAGATTAATGGTGTCAGCTATATTAACCTCCTTCTTATCTACAGATATTGCTTTCTCGAATGCAATCTTTTTTACAATTTTATTGCACTCATTATATTTCATCTTTGCATCCTGGTCATTTGGCCTAGCTTTGGTTACCTGAAAAATAATTTTTTTTGGTAGGGATTCACAGCCACTTCAATCTATTATTAATGTTCAAAACTTATTTCTACCAATACATTATGTTTCAGAAATTTGTTTAAAAATTAAACCTGAATAAAAATCGGCATTTGAAATTATTTAACTTTCTACTGAAATCATAAAAATATAACCATATTAAAGTGTGGTCACTGATATTGAAAAGGAAATGATTGTGCATAATATGACCACATTTAACATACCCAATTTCTATCATAATTGTTGCCTACCTTTACTGGTAGTCAAATAATCAAGGGTAGTTCAGCATTGGATTTTTGGCTGTAATAAATGTATGATTAAAAAAAATGTCTAATTTTCTTTCAATTGCTACACTTATGTCAAATTCTCACCACCCCATGGGTTGACCGGTAGAGAATGCCTTTAGGCCTTTCGTATTGCCCTCTGTATCCTTTTTATTCTAAAGGAATGCACCAAAGATTTTAAAGTAAAAAAAAATGTCAAGGCACTAAAATCGCCGTATGCACATACAGTTTAATGTTATACATAATATTGTAATTACATGATAGTAATACATAAATCCCGAAGCCAGAGCACATTTAAGCTGTTTGGTTAATGGAATATTTAAAAAAAAATATAGGATGGGTTATGGATCGGGTGACAAACAAGCATGCAGTCCATCTGATGGTAAGTGGTTGTAGTGGCCCATAGACATCTACATCTACCTTGAGGGCTAAGAATGAATGCCTCATTTCCAGTAAAAAGGGTCTCTGGTTCTCTACACTCACTATGCAAAACACAGCATCATTAAGCTGCTATTTTACACTGGCATTCTGTGAGAGTGTGGTCCTTCCCCGGTCTAGCCTACCCATTCGTGCCATAACTATACTACGAATATAACTGCAGCATGACTCTACCATATTATATAAAAATACATCATACCATTAAAACACTTTTTACTATCTGTTATTATTAACAATTTGATGAAATGATATTCTAGACTTTGACGGCTCCATGGTGCAGTGGATTAGCAATGAGTTGCTGTGCTGGGGGCAGTGGGTTAGAATCCCTCATGAAAAAGTATTTGTACACAAATATTATCACTGTAAGTTCTTTTTCTAATATAAAATCTCTTGTGTGTGGTATATTCAAAATCACAGCAAAAATTAAAATATTCAAATGTGAAACATACACATTTCATGATAAAGTCTAGTATGTTAATAAATGGTATAATAAATATGAATAAATCTATATAAAAAGTCATCTATTGCTTTTAATCTAATCAAAATCTTTTAATCTAAAAAAAATCTTTAGCTATATGATTTTGCTCTCATATAATGGTTTATCCCAAATCAATTATAAATGAAATTGCATAATTAAATATTAAAAGCTTAAATCTATGTGTCCATGCAATTTAATACCTTTTTCTGCATTTCAGGCAACTGAATAGCTAATATGAGCCATACAGTAATAACTTATATAAATCCCTACAATATTTATTTAGTTAGTAGATGATATCTTGCTACATAGGGGTCAGAATTAGCCATGTAGTGGTTGTGTAAAAAGATCCACTACTCCATAATATATCTTTGGATGTTTAAGAGCCGCAAAATGGAAATGAAACAGAAGATGGGCCGCAGCATCAACAATCCACTTGCCAAGTTTAACAACTATGTTAAATGTCTCAAGCAATCTATGGAGGAGGCTTATCTTCTAAAGAGGACTTTTGATAGACTGTAAAGATGTCAATGATGATGAAGGGGATGGTATAAGGAGAATATTAGCCTATTTCATCATGTGGCTTTGGATAGAGAAAACTTGGGAAATAATCTCTAATAGATGTATTTGTATGTGTTTAGTATATTCTTTTGTATGTGTATGGGTCGGTTCGACTGGGTAAGGACCAGGCCCTCATAAATACCAGAGTAAAATTGCAGCTTAACGCTGCTGTGTTTCGTATGGTGAGTATAGAGAACCGGAGACCCGTTTTACTGGAATTGAGTGCGAGACATTCCATCTTAATCCTCAAGGGTGACAAAAAATCTGCATTTTGACTCTTAATCAAGGTTATATGTACAGTCTATGGGCCACAGCAGCCACTTACCGACAGGTGGACTGTGTGCTCGTTTGTCACCCTTATACTATAAAAAAAAAGATGTAATAAATAAATGGGTATGCTGTGGTGGCAGCATTAGAGAATCCACCATATGTCAGGATTAGACATGTGTCAATGGTGAATAATTTGTTCATTTGACCCAGGTTGCATCACAGTATTGATGATTGCAATAACATTGTTTGAACATTCCCACTTAAACGATTGTCAGGACCTACGACCAAAGGGTTATTGTATATCACAGAGTACTGAAACTAGTTAAGATCAATTTGATTGATTGACCCAAATGACCCAGCTTGTAAGATTAAACAATATCTGAATGATCGGGTCAATAACACATGTCTAGTCAAGATGTCATATGAGGTGACTATGGGATACGACAGAAAGATCTTATGGCTATTAATAGAAAGTTTAACTATCTCATTTAACTCAGACCTAGAATACTTGGATTTAAGATGAGGAACAGAATCAAAGGTGTATATTGTATGGTACTGATTTTGTCCAACACCCTGCCATTTATCATTTAATGCAAATCCTTCCTATGACAGGAGAGCTCATGTTTAGTAGCTTTCTTGACTTGACTTTCGGGGACTGATATAGAAAATCTAATACAGAATTCTTAAAAGCAAATTTCATGTGATATGGTTTTCACATTGTAGTGTATGTGATTTTAATTAGAGATGGGCCGAATATGGATTTTGCCGAATACGAATATTCGGCCGAACATTCAGTAAAAATTTTACCGAACCGAATATTCGGCCGAACATTATTCGGCAGGATCACCTTGGTACCTAAACAATTTATGTCTAAATTTGTTACCACAAAGAGCGCAGGATTAGCGCCGGACCCTGCTCCTCGCTTCCCAGCAACACCTGACATGTTATTGCATCAACTAGTACTGTGCAAATAGCCGGCATGTGCTTAGTCTATGTTTTGACTATTTTTGTAGAAATTGATAGATTGATAGATTTGTAAGAAAAAACTATTTCGTTGTGGTATTCTTAGAGAAAATTGATAATTATATGATAATAATGAGTGGCAGGAGATTTACTATTTGGACTTATTTAAAGAGACTGATGACCAAAGTAAAGTGAAATGTTCTAATGTAATGTAATGTTTCTTTTGGTTCCAAAACCATTTTATCAAGCGTTATATTTGCTATAATTGGAAATAAATCTACAATGCCTAAAAAAAATAACACTATACAAGTAGATTTAACCCATAAATACAATATACTTTCAATAGTAAAATTATGAAAGACATGGCATCACTCAATTCGTACATTTCAATACAGTGGACACCTTGAGTAGCACTTCACCGAATGTTCCGTGATTTAGCCAAATATTCGGCCGAATACGAATATTCGGTAAAGATGCAGAATACCGAATATGAAACGAATATTCAGCCCATCCCTAATTTTAATGTGCCAGTAAGTATGTAATAAAATAAAGTCCATAGATTGGGATGAAGGTAGTATCATTTATATTGCCTGTTAAAACACAAGTATAAATGTCCACTGTTTCGAGCGCATTGCGTCAGTATCACAAGAGCCATGGGCGAGAGTGGACGTGTAGTGAAACTTGAGTTTACATGTGCATGTGTGAACCAGTGAATTCCTAACTGTTACTCACGTTAAATTACTTTTAGACATATAGTTTTCAAAAAAACTGCATTAGTTAGTTTTATAATCTATCACTTGAAAAAGAAGTCACATAATACAAATATTTTATATAAGTCATATATCCTATGTATATATTTAATTGACTTAAGTATATAGTATTCATGAAAGTGGTGGTGGCACTTACATATTCAAAATCCTTAAGGGCTAATTTGTACTTTCCTAATGACATATGAGCAGCCGCCCGCCTATAATAAGCCTTAGTGTAAGACTTATCAAGGTCTATTGCTTTGGATGCATCACCGAGTGCATATCCAAAGTTTTCCAACCTTAAATTCGCTATGCTCCTGTTTGCGTAGTAAACTGCATTATTTGGGTTCTTCTCAATTGCTTTTGAGTACAATTCTATAGCATCGTCGTAATGTTGCTCTGGAAAAATGAGGTTAGGTATGTTACACTTTTGTCTCTTAAAAGATGTTATGATATCACGAACAGTCACAACATATATGGTAAGTCAGTCAAACGTTTATGATTACTTTAATATCGACGAGCTTTATTCTTACTTTTAAAGAGCTCATTTGCTTCATTTTTCAGTTTTTCTGCTGCCTCTATGTCTTCTTGAGAGACAGGCCCAGTTACCTCAGCGTTTGTAGCCATATTTCTTGAGTTAAATAAATGATAAAATTAAAGCGACTTAATATTATTTATTGTAATAATCATTGAGAGTAACGTGATTTTCTTACAGACATAGAAATGCAACCCGTAATTCATGAAAATTCAAGTGATAGAATAATGAATGAATGACTTGTGAATGACTGTCATTGATGTTTTTTTTTAATTTATTTCTTGTCCATGGATACAGTCTTTCAGTCAATAAATTTCAGCCTAGGCACACTGTGAATTTTTAGGATTTTGACAACTGATATGTGATAACCCAGCGGACCGTTGAAGTATTTCTAGCTGCTTAAGTAGGTTCAAGTGGTTAAAAAAATTAAGATTTTTGTTACCATCTATGCACTAGTAATAACATTTAGTCCTTCTCTGGTTCACATGCGCAGATATTTAACACTTCATCCCTAAAATAAATCAAAATCCATTTCAAACCGGGCAACAATCTATCTGTGATCAATTTCCCGCCGAAACTCCTATAGGAATTAGGTAATAATAAAGATTATGCTACTTTTAGAATATACAAAAGCAAGCTATGCTTATGTAAAATGAATTTACTTTGCGAAGAAGTTAAGCTTTGTGAATAGACTCAACCCTCAACGGTTGAGTCTATTCACGAAGAAAAGGTTTTTGCGGAAAAATAAACTGATATTTTGATTTCAAAATAATTCCCTGTAACTATGGTTTAAAATATATATATTTCGAAGACATGTGAAGTTCGCCAACACGCATTAGGGCAGCGCGGCAGACAATTCCTTGCCATAAAACCCTCTCAGGAATGAGCGGAGGCCTGTGCTCAGGAATGAGAGGTATGTAGGATGTAGCTTAAACTTTCACTATGGTATAAGAAAAAGTTAATTATAGAAAGATTATTTGAATCTTCGAAAAGGTTCGAAGCCCGCCGACACCAATGAAATTCTTAGATTGATTAATTATGTTTACATTATGAAACAGATGAAAAATATATCAAAGGTTGATATCTATTTTATAAAGGTAATTGGTAAACAGGGTTAACTTTGAAATGGGTTCTTACAAATTGAATATTAGAAATAAATAATTTTTATTAAATGCTAATTTCTGAGTAAAAAAGAGTAAAGAAAGATTATTTGTATTAACTTAGAATCATACATCATAGTATAGTAATCGGCTATGTAATACGATATAAATAAACAATTGACAACATTTTATCGCTTTATGCACTTTAATGTTTACTTGATGTTTAATCACTGATAAGGCATTCCAATGTGTTAGTTATTTGATAGGATACACTAGTTAGTCTGGGTGTTAGTTAAGGACAGTTTAATGCTAAAGTGAAAAGGTGTATATTTAAGACAAGGATGGGTACAAGCATCTGAAAGATATGGCAAGAGCTTATCTACCTCTATAGGATCCATAGGGTCGTGTGAAAATGAGTTCGCTACCTTGTGTAAATAATTAACAGTAAGAAGAGGGCAAACGCGAACCGTTTCTTGAAAATATTATTTAAATAATATATTTCTTTATTATTAAAGTTTTTTAAAATGTATATAATAAACACTTGTTAATGTAGTGGCTAAATTCTGTATTAGAATAAGATGATAGAAATGTTAATAAAGTTCTGTTTAAGTGATAAAATAGCAAAATAATGGAAATATTAAATAGTACATTAAAGATGAATTTTGTATAAAGTTTTGTTTAAATACCTGTTTAAAGTTTTAAATCTCACATCAAACTATTGCAATATGAATATTGATGGAAATCGTATTGTAAAAGTTGTATTTAATATTTAAAGGTTTACAAAACCGTATTTAGTGTTTTAATTAAGGTTTATGACCATAAAAAATAGTTTATAGAAAAGTGATATTAAGTCTTATATTTTATTAATGCCTTGTGTAATGTGTGTTTAATCCCATACTTTTAAACGAGCAATTCTTGTATATATATATAATCGGAATCTCGGAAACGGCTCTAACGATTTTCTTAAAATTTAGTGTCCAGAGAGTTTCGGGAACAATAAATCAATCTAGATAGGATTTATTTTTAGAAAATGTCCCTTTGTTCGTGTTTTCAGGCAATAAAAAACTGCTACAATATCGTTAGAATAAGAAAGTAAATTTTGACAGTTTATTAATGATTACAAATAGCTTAATTGGTATATTGGGCGGTCACAAAATCGTAATACCATGTATCGAGCCCAGACCAACCGACCGACTTTTTTTAATTTTTTTTCAAGTTCCTTTCTTTTTCGAGAAAATCTATTTTTTCGAGCTCTTTTTTTAGTATTTTTTAAAAACACGAAAATTTAAATTAAACTAATTGCACTCATGATTTTTTATTTAAATAACCAGTTCAGTTTTTCTATTATGTCGCTAAGATCAAAAAATATTATTCGTATTTCATCAGTATGTAATTTGTATCTAAATATAATTTCCAAAACACACGAATTAAAAAAAACCGAGCGAAAAATACCGAGCAAAGCTCGGTCAACCGGGTACTTGTTTTTATGTGTTATTATTATGGGAAATAAAGTTATGATGCAATATATGGAAATGTGATAGTGAAAATTATCGACACATTAGGAGGCTTTTCGAGACTGGCTCACTTTAAGGTTTAGTTCATAATTATTTATTTTTTGAGTTATTATCACGAAGATATTGTTGCATATCTCACGTTTCATAACTATACAATACACACTAATAGTAGAACTAAAGTAGTTGAGCTACGCTAGTATATTTTAAGTCTATGTTTGTTGCCGGTTTTCCATTATATAGACACCTCTATTGATGTGCCGTAGACAGAGAAACCTATAGACAAATTGACGCCTTCTTTGGCATTCGCACTTGAAAAAGATAGATTTATGCATACGTCTTGCATAGAAACGAGACAGAGCGGCGTGATTGTTTGTCCGTTTCTCCGTGCCGATTTTTTTGTTTAGCAAACTACACTTTGCTAAACAACTTTGACAGTTCGTAGCGATCTAAGGAGTTTACAAGTTAGTTTAAGTGAGAAAAAAGTGTTTTGTGAGCTTAAGATTGGTGAATCTTGTTCAGTTCAGTTCTTCGAATAATTAAAATTTTATCTAAATATGTTTAAAAGTCATAAAGATTATTGTATAACCTAAAACTACGTTATCGTCCTTTCTCACTCGAGGCCACGCTAATCATTAGTCTATAGGTTTCTCTGTCTACGGTCTACGTGATGTGCCATCAGCATAGACTTTATATACGTCTATGGCAATTAGCGACACAAAAAAACTTGTGTATAAATTCATTTATAGTCTACGACTTAGTAAAATTCAGGGATTTAAACCTCAATTATACAGTTACACTACATTTAATCCAGGTCCCTAAGCCAATAATAATGGTGGTTTAATAAGAGAAATGGGGTAAGGGTCCCTAATTAGGGCGTCAAATTGGTGAAAAAATAAAATTGGAACCGGTCTGCAGTGCCCTCACTACCATGCAGTGTAATAACTATTGTTCGTCCATCATAACTTGACGCGTAATCCGATTGGCATAATGTAATTACTGCTGCTATTAATAATGTAATTTACAGTGTTGCGTGTTTCAATTTGTATAGCGTTCCCGAAATGTAGGGACAGGCACTATGGTACGCAATATAAAAGCATGTATACACGTATCTCAACCACAAGGTGCGTGTTCAAATCTGGCACCTAGAGTCTAACACATAGTGTCCTTTTTCGTATGGATAAGGGCATTCATTTTGTAATTCAACTGTTACTACTGAGCTGCTGATGACTATACCTATGTGACTTTTAAGTGTCATAGTGTACTCTCTGAAACAATTCATATATCAATAGGAACATTCAGGATAAATAAATTAAGACGGGTTTAAAAAGAATCACTTTATATAATCATGATCAATAAGGTGTTAAGGGTTCATATCTTCTCCCATGTTACACAATGTAACACTATCACTGCAAACCCACAATAAAAAGCGATCACTTCCTTCATCTATTTTTTTATCTTTCACTGTTTACTCATCTTCAATTTGAATAACATCTGAGCACTCTTTTTTCAAAAAGTCATAGCTTATTGAGCCAACAGTTTCTTTTATAATTGATCCCACTTGATCATCTCTCTGGCCCACATTTTTCTCTGCGAACCGCCTCTTCATAACACTCCATAATAGCTCAATTGGATTTAAATCCGCATGATATGGGGGCAGCCACAAAACATTATGACCATGTGCTTTTATTAATTCATCAGCTTTATATATGGGCTCTGGTTTATTTTTTTTTTATAAATTCATATAAAACATTTTTGACAAATTTGGTGAAAACAACAGTCCCTTGTTTTGAAGTCACTCTGCCATATCTACTTTGAGGCTTGCCATATTAGGACTTTTATTTATTTGTACAATATGACATGATGCATTGTCCATCACAATCACACAATTAGGTGGCGGGATTGGCAAAACTCATTTTTCCAGCGAATTTACAAAGTTATCGCTAACCATGTCGTCATGGTAGTCGGGTGATTTTGCCTGTGGTTGAATAGCAGTAACGCATTATTAATAAAGCCGTCTGTAGTTCTAACGTGTGTAATTACCCATCCACTACTCTTACCTGAATCTCTGACCAATACACCTTCAAAATCTGACTGCCAACATTTTTGCACCCCATGTGATATATGAATAAATGTTTCATCTAAGTAGACAATAGTCCGTCCCTCTTCTCGGTATTTTTAATTAAAATTTTATTGAAGTAATTAAATCACAAGGCAGCTATATCTGTTCATTCCACAACCATTTTTGTTTTTAATTAACCCTTTTTATATTTATATCCGAGTCGTTTTAATGTTTTCCATAGTACGTCCACCTTCAAAGTTTATTTCAACTCGCAATTCGATAAGTTATTTGTTTAACGAAGGAATTTCTTTTCGTACAGCCTAAAATGACATAATTTTTTTGTAGAACTGCATAAGCATCGAAATCATCGATTCTGATCTTCGTATCGCGATCTGATCGTTTTTTCCAGGTGTAGTTAC